TTGACATGAAATTTTTGGTATTTTTGTACTATCATCCTTAAAATTATCCCCTTCCTCTTCTTGTCTAATTCCAGTAATGATTTTTTTTCAGTTAAAACATACACGACTTGTTACTCATTTGGATTATTGAAGAAGACATTAATATCTACTTGATTAGTGTAACGAAGTTGTTAAATCCAATCGCTCAATTTTACAGTGACTTTTTTATATCTATTTCCGTACTATCCTAATGTTACTAAAACAATGAATTGAAATCCTAATACTACTAAAACATGAATTATAAAATCAAAGATCAAAATAATAATTCTTGTAACTACACGTCTATTAAATTATAACCTCCTCATAGTAATAAATTTAATTGGTTCTAACTTTATAATTATAGAAATATTTTACTATATATATGTGGGGACGAGTCTGGACAAGACCAATCCCGTCCTCAAATTCGGAGACGAATTTTCAACTCAGGCCCAACCCAAATCTCGAACGATTAGGGAAAATTTTGCCCTGTTTGAGGCAGGTCGGGACGAGTCCATGCAGGGACGAGTATTATGCCCATCCCTATTTCTAAGGGGTAAATTTGCTACTTTATTAATCCCTCGTGAGCTAATCAATACAATGTTTTATGATATAAGACTTCGATAAATCGAACATTGTTAAAGAAAGGTTTACTTAGTTTCTGAAACCGTGAGATACTTGACATAAATTTAAAAAATTTACGATCGAAGACTTCGATAAAACTAACACTGCCACCCCCAAATCTCATATCCGAGATTAACGTTAAACAGAGTAACATCATTAGTTACTGATATCAATGCCAAATCGCCCTTAAGCCATAGGAGTATTACTGTAATGACAGTGAAATATGTGTTGCCTATAATTTTTGTTTTGCATAACAAAACCTGAGCTTCAGAAGCAGATTTGCTAAACAAAATTTTAGATTATATAAGCAGATAACATTCAGCATGAACATCCAAAATGCCTATACGACATTCAAAAGGGAAAAATATAATCGAAATATAGGAAACAAACGTCATCCTGCTATAAAACGCCATATGCACTGAAGTGAAAAAGAGGAAATAAATGGCGTTCGGTATCAAATGCCATATGCACTGAAGAGAAATCTGCTTAGTGATCACCCGGTAGAGTCTTGATGATATCAGAATCACCTGCAGAGAAAGATTAAGTGGGGTGCGTTAAATTTCTTTGGGTGCATACTACAACAAAAGATATGTAACGAATTGTGTTTGTGTTATATAGATGATACCTGGATCGACAATGCTCAAGCAAGACACTCGGAAGTACTTGCCACAAGCTGTTCCCAAGTCAACATTGTCTGGTGAAATCATCAGCAAGCATGGGGTTAATTAAAACTGTTAAGTGGGAAATCTAATATCAACCAAACATTTTCAAGTCAAAAATGGGGGCAGACAAATTTCTGGTAAAAAAATGCCGATAACACGACAACCAACAAAAAAGCTACCACAATCGAATCATCGACCCATACCATGACCATGAAATTCAACTGAACTGTAAGTCCAATAACAGATCCTTCCTACCATGGTCGGTAAGCTAAATATATAAAAGTCACAAACTCTCATATACACTAAGTATAGGAAATGAAGTCTGAAACCGCAAAGATGGACGCCAACAAGGGATCATCATGTTCTTATACATCTCCCCTCAAAACTTCTCCTCACACACAAACAGCAAAAAAAAGAAGAAATTGCCGTAGCAACAACCGCATTCGTGTACACATATATACATATATCATGCCACCAGAAATCTCAATATGACTTAAGAATAAAATAACCTTCACCTACAAATTATTGAGTCAGAGTTCAGAGCAATAATTCATAATTTTTTATTTTTTGTTCAAAATTCACATCCAATTCAAAATTTAACAAAACAAAAACAACAAAAATACTCACTTCCATTGTAATGGTGGACACCAACTTTGGCAAGCATGGCATAGTACTCAATCTCAGATTTTCTCAGAGGAGGGCAATTATTAGACAAAATAATCAATTTCCCTGCACCAAAATTTACAAAACGAAAAATCCCACATCAAAAATTCAAATCTCATGACAAAAGAATCAAAACTTTTACTTCCAGAAACTATAAAGCACAACAAAAATCAAACCTTTTGAGCTTCTAAGAGATCTAAGAACCGTTTTGTAGCCAAGCGTGTACTTCCCACTCTTCATAACAAGAGCGAGCCTGTTGTTGATGCTCTCATGAGTCTTCTTCTGCAAAAACAACGAAAACCAGAGGAAAAATTGATGGTTAAAGAGCTGATTTGGGGATTACATAGAAAGAAATCTAAGTATTGCTCTTACTGTTTTCTTGCCGGACACCATTTTTTTTTTTTTTTTTGGTCTGATTGTTTCCTGGAAAATGAGAGGGAAAGTTGTTGTAGAGATGGGTTTAGATTGCTTTATTTGTTTGTCGACAAAAAAAATTATCTTTACGGAATTTAGGGTTTTTGAAGAGGCAGAGCGTTTTATAGGTTTTTCCGGTGCACGTGCTATTCACGTTTCCTTTGTATTATTTATTATATGAATAAATATTATTATTTATGATAAAAATTACTTTTGCTCCAGGTTCACACATTATTTAGCATGCCGTTAATAAGAAATATTATATTATTAAAAATGTTATATTAATAAAAAAAAATATAGCTTTAATATTATTAGAAATATTTAGAGAAATATATTTAGTTTGTTGGAATGAATTGATAAGTATGTTATATTAATATGTTTGGTTGAGAGAAACAAATTGTTAAGTATATTATTTAAATTACTAAATTATTTTCTAATTACATATTATTATTATTTAGATTATTACATAGTATAACCCTCCTAAATTTAAAAACTGAGCAAAAACAACCCCATAATAAAAGTTTGAAAAATCAATAATGCACCGCATAAACCCAGCCACTGCTGGTTGCTGGCAAGCACCATCGGTCGCCAGTAGCTAGCAACCTAATGGCGCACGGAAGGCCAGAAATGGACTCCGTGCGCCGATATGGCCATTTTTTGCTAGAGATCTAGCCAGAAATGGCCATATCGGTGCATAGAGGCCATTTTCAACCTTCCGTGCGCCGTTCTGGCAACGACGGTTGGCAGCAGCAAGTGGGTGGGGGTGGTGGCTTGGGTGTGCTGCAATTTGTTTTGAGTTCAAGGGTAATTTTGTTCAAAAAGTTAATTAATTGGGGTAAAATTGTCAAAGCCATATTCATGTAAATTGATTTTAAAACGAGGACATTATTATCCAAAAAATTTATTAATAAGAGATAAAATTGTAACAAAAATAAGATAACTAAGTAATCTTATAATACCTAAGAAAATATAGATTATTAGATTACGTCTAATATTACCAATAATAACTACTATTGGTATTGGAAAATTATCAGAATTGTATATTATTTGACAATCAAACGTGGTAATCAAGTAATATAAGATGATATAACCTCAGTAATCCTATATAACCCCCAACCAAATGCCCCACAGGGTTAAGAGTATTTTTTTTTTTTTTTTCAAGTCCAATGGGTAAGATAAGTCATTGTGATAAATGACCACTTGATAGGACTTAAACACAAGACTTCTATATAACCTTCCCACAATATTTAAGATTTGAGTTATGTACCCAATACATCAGGTTAAGAGTTTTTTTTTTTTTTTTTTTTAAACCAAAGTGTCTAAACCAATTTTCGTACACCTCAACTAATCTCTAAACACTCTACAAGCCAAATAGGTCAGATAAGCCACCCTACAAGTTAAATGGATCAGATAAGTCATTGTGATAAATGACCACTTCATAGGATTTAAACACAAAACTTTTAAATAATCTAAGGTCTTACCTTCCAACCACAAACCAAGTGGTAAGGATTCAAGGTTCTTCTAGGGTTCAGGATCTCTCGTGAGCACTTTGTGCTTCAAGTAAGTTTTATTAATTATACTAATTCGTTCAGGATTTGAGTTCTCATAAATACCTATGGGTGCGTTTGTTTTGTTATTTTGGATAGGATTTTGGAAATAATATTTGGTAGTTGAATTGGGTGAGTATTACGAGGTAAAATTTAAAAATTAACAAAAAAACCCATTAGGTTTGCTAATTTAACTAAACACCCAAATATATAAAAATGACAAAAACACCCCTACTCACCACAGTGCCAGATTCTGATCACCACCGTGGGAATCTGCTGTTACGACACAAACCAGTCAGATCTAACCGGTGGTGTGTCAATCTGGCATTTTCCGATCAGATCTACTGCCAGATCTGGCCATCGACGGCCGCAAAAGGCTAGATTTAGCCGTCGAAGACGGCCCAAGATATGGTCAACGATCTAATCTTTTCCGACCTAATCCACCATGGATCTAACCGAAAAGTTTAGAACGGTGAATAAACGACAAATTCCGATCGTTTTTAAGCCGTTGTGACAGATTCTGACCACCACTGACAGTGATTGCCGGAATCTGGCAATTATAGATGGGTGATATTGTTTTTGTTAATTTTTAAACTTTTTTTTTTTTAAGGGTGTTTAATTAAGTCAATAAACTTAAGAGGTCTAAAAATAATTAAAAAAATAGAATAGTATTTTCCAAATAATTAAACAAGCAAGAATTTTGAAAATAGGATAAGAAATAGGGTTTGAAATAATAAAACAAAAACGACCCTGTAATTCTCTCACGAGTACCTTTAAGATCATAGTCCGTTATTTTCCGCTTCCGAAAAGGACAAGTTCTAATTCAAGTTTACAAAGGAAAGTCGAAATTTCTAAATCATAAAAACAATAATTAAAAGAAAATCTAAACGATATTCTGATGAATATGATCCGATACCAAGTAACTGTTAATAGAGGCCTCAGTAATCAAAAGAAAACTTTGGCATTTGGATGAAGAACTGCCGCAAATATTCCTGACTTGAAATGGTGTTATGAATCGAAACAATGAAAATTCAATGAACTAGAAATTAAGCAGAAGATTTGGCAAATTTTCAATAGCAGTTCAAAAAGCTAGTACACTGGTTAATCAAAGTTGTTGCAGAATCTACAATGAAGACCAAACTTAAAGGGGAAAGAAAATATCATCCAAAAGTTAGAAATATGATCTAACAACATCACAAGAAGTTCATAAAACTTGGAATTCTGGTTCAACAGAAAAACAAGACACACGACACCACAGAAGCTCTCAGCTTTGTAGGGGGAGGAGGTTTCTAACACTAAATAAAACATAAGCCTCAGGCAGGCACAGCCTTCGGAAAACCCAAATCGAAATCCATCAACGAACAAGATCCCCAAGCTTGGCTGGAACAATTCCTTCCTACATGTAGTAGTAACACCTGCAGACCTGCAAAGACGATATTATGTGATACTTTCTTACCATTATCTAACATACGGGAACAGCCAGGGGTAAATTATAGCTTGATCCCTACTGCTTGGTGTTTTTACTCCGCGATTGAACTTTTGCCGCAACTTGTTCTTCTGATAGAGGCAAGTAGTAGATGCGAGGAGTCGCTTTGGTTTTGCGAAATAGGTCATCCAGAGTCACGATTGGTGGGTCAATTTTTTCTGGGAGTGGGGGAGGGGGTGGAAGAGTGAAGCGTTCTCTAGCTGGGGCTGGGTTGGATACGGGTGGTGGTGGTGGTGGAAGAGTTGGCGGTGGTGGGAGCTGCTGTCTGGGAGCTGGTTGACGGGGTGAGGGCTGGGGCTGCGAGGCAGGTGGAGCTGGAGCGGGAGGGGTGGGTGCAGCTGGCGACTGAGGAGGAGCTTCTGCTCGCATTTTCACTTCCTGGGGATCCACAAACTCAGCCACCAGCAGGCGTCCACCATTATTTGGAGGCCATTGTATGTTATACAAAGCCTTACGTGTCTCCATGGCTTCATCAACTGATGTATACTGCATCATCAAAGAAGTTTTCCAAATAGTTGAAAAGATTTATTAAATCCATCTGAACCCACAGAGAAAAATGTACATAAAAGAGAGGATTCATATCTTGTACTGCGAGAGAATTAAAAATCTTACAGTAACATAGCAATGGGTCTTGATATGGTCCATCCAGAAACTGGTGAAAGTTCCAGTTTTGCCCAGAAGCTCATGCACAGCTTTTAGAGTAAAAGGACGCACAAAATGATCAATCCTGAGGGAATTAGTTGGAGGTTTAGGTGAAGGTGGAACTGCCAACCAAAAAAGTTGAGATTGAAGTTGTTTAGATGTTAAATGAACAAGGTAAAAATCTTATAATCAAATTAAGAGAACAATAACTCACCCACACGTTCCTTGGGTGTATCATCACTGACTGCCGAATCGGATCTAGAGAGGTTCCGTTTCGAAGCACTAGATTGAAATGTGTCCCTCGGCGTGGTGGTAGGTGTAAGATTAGAACTCTGCTGTTCTGGAAGCTTGAGGCTTTCAGAGTTCCATCTGCGTTGCCTCTTCAAAGGCTCATTGCTTCCCACTGTTTCTTGATCTGTGAAGCAGTTTGTCACACAAAATTAGAAGACATTTAAGTTTTTATGTATAAGAAACATTAAGGAATCAAATTAACATTCAAATTTTTTTCCAGTAGAAAGGACAGAGAAACTCAAATCACCAGAGTGCCATTGTCTAGGCATATGCAATGACCAAAAAATCGATAAAACAAATTACACAATGAATTTTCAGAGGCAACTTTCTAAAGATGAGTACGGCTGCATGCTTAAAAACCACATTTTCCAAAAAAAAAATTTATGGCAAGGACCACATCTTGCCAATTAAAGTAGACCTTCCATTTGAATATGTTAAATGTTTCCTAGAGGTATTTCCCTGAAGAAAGCTAATTTTATCTAATCACCTTTGGTTGCAACTACTGCTTCTGCCTTATCCAGAAACTAGAAACACGCTGATGTTTCTGAATGAAAGAGAGGGAGGGAGAGAGAGGGGGGAGGGGGGTGTATTTTCAGGGCACGCAGTCATCTAAAATGAAAAATTTTAAAAAAAAAAAAAATTCATTGTACTTTCTCATTACAAGCTTGATGCAGATCTCTGTCAAATTAAATTGGCAACAAAAATTGCAAACTCACGTAATGGGGAAAAATGAAAACCACACAAAGGTAATATTTGCAACAAACAACTTTATAGAATAATATAAAACCCAGAGGGCAAAGCATACCATTAATTTTTCTTTTCTCAGCAGCCACAACTGGACGACTCTTATTCTCAACTTGAACATCCTTTTTGTCATCAGACAAACCATCTCCGACAACATCAACAGGACTATCCTCTTTCACAACAGACACTTCATCTTTCTCACTTCTGTCCCTCACTTCATCAAAACTATCCTTTGAATCAATTTGTTTACTCTCCAGGACATCCTCCTCCATAGAGTCGTCACCAGAGCTTCGATCTAAATTTAACTTTTCTGAATAACCCACATCTGCACTATCATTTTTCTTGCCCATGTCTGCAATTGTAGCATTGCTGTCATCTCTCTCCTCAATAGATGCCTTCCTCTCAAGTGGCTCTTCAACATCCATTGGATGTGATTCACCACCAACTGGAACAATATTGCTAGATGATGGTTCCACCATCTCCTGCTTAATAACATCTTGTTCTAATTTGACATTATCAGCAATTATATTATCCTTTAGTTCAATCTTTTCATTAATTGACACAGAATCAGTAGAAATAGAATCAGATTTTACTTGAGACCCTAAATTAGCGCTGACCTCAGATACCTGATTATCCGGAGCAGCGGTGTCAAGAATGTCATCCTTGTGCAGAGGCTTTAAACCCTCATTCTCCAGCTGGGGCTTTGGATCCTCAATCTCCAGCTGAACATTTGAATTCAAACTCTCTCCCGGTGTTCCAGAGTTATGCAACTCTTGCCCACTAAAAGCTAATTCAGTAACCAAACTCTTAGTAACTGTAGTGCTGGTCTCCACAGTAGTTTTACGGATAACCAGCTCCTCCTCCACTCTAGGAGGGTTGGTATCACCTGTTATGTCACTTTCTTGGATTTTCTCTTGACCTAAGGCAGCATCATTTTTGTTACTATTACCCGCTAATTCTATGTTTTCAACCTCTCCTTGACCCAATGCAGCAGCACTACTGTTCATGTCAAGCTGAACCACGACATTATCCACCTTTTCATTTTCTTTACTACCAACAATCACAACATCTTTAGCGATTCCAGTATCAACAGGCACTTTCTCTGCATCTTTTACACCAACAACTGGTTGGGTAACACTATTAACACCATTATCGGCTTCTGCTTCCTTTGCAGCCTTTTCCCGTTCAATGCGAATGGCATTATCCAACATTCGTATCAACTCCTCCTTCTTACCACTTGATTTCAACTTCCGCCTCTTTAGCTCTTCTTTCAATTCTGTAACCTTCCACTGGTCAATTGGTTTATTGTCAAGAATTGGATATGGAGACGACATCTTTTCCAACTAAAAATCACCTTCTCAACTCTGATTAACACATTACATTGCACAAGCAATCAGCCACTGAAAGATATTATTTCAAAACAGAAATATACAACACATAACAAAAGAAAAGGAAAGGAAAATACAAAGATGAAGCAGAGAAACTTATAACAAAGGTATGGAGATAAAGTCAGCAACTCACAACAAAAGCTCTTAACTACCCCACAGAGAATGCTAAAATATATCCAAACATATAATAAGCAAATATAGAAAACCATAAACCAGCTTGTTACTGAAAACATATGCAAACATTTCATGATCTGAAATCACACTCAGCAAACTCAAGTTCGAAAGAAGTGCCTGCTACAACCACTAAAATCATGGCATTTCGCCAGGTAAGTGGCCTTGAGGACTAGAAACCTACCCGAAAATGTCTCACCTCTTAAAACTAAACCCCTAATCTGGTTGCTACCGGAAACATTTTGTTAATGCACTAACATTCAACAAATTACACTAATTCTTTAAATTAATTTCAAAATAAGCCTCACTATAGCAGACTTAATGAAACCAACAAAACCCCAAATTCAACAATGCTGGGAAAAACAAAACAAAACCCTAACTTTACAATGCATAAACACAAACCCACAAAATTACAATCTCCGCTTGCTAAGTTCACAAACATAACTTCAAAAGAGTCCTCACTACAGCAAAACCCTAAAATTTAACAATGCTGGGCAAACCAAAAAACCCTAATTTCACAATGCAATTAAAAACCCACAAAAATTAAGAAAAAACCCATAAAAGAAACAACAGAAAGAGAACGAAAACTCACAGAAATAAGAGATTACTTCGCAGCCTGAAATGACGAAAAAAGAGAGATGTGAAACCCTAATTTTCACAACACAAAACCAACCATTAGAGAACTCAAAACAAAACAGCACATCAACAACAAAACCTTAATCTACTCTAACCCAGATAAAAACACTCCTAAATGAAACAACTATTCACAGCTTCGCTAGCTAAAACGACACTCGAGGCCCCAGAATTCTGCTTCAAGACGGCGTCGTTTCGGAAATTAATTTTTTTTTCTCTTCCTGAAAACAAAACAGAGAGAGTCGAAAACAGAGAAAACAAGAGAATCAAAACAGAAAATAATAAAAACGAAAATGAAAAATAGGGTCTTAATTTGGGATAACAAATTTAGGGTTTTTATTTTTTGTTTGGCTTTTCTTCTGAGCTAATGTTGTGTTAACTTAAAAATAAGAGATGAGTGGACAAAAATCTGAAAATATATATGATTTTATTTGTTTTTAAATACCCAAAATACCCTTACCGTTTTTCTTTTGATAGAAAAGGGTTAGTGGAAATTTTAGAGACATTCTGAGGGTAAAAGTGTGAATCAATTTTTATGAGTGGTTTATTTGCAATTTACTTAGAAATTTGGGTATGAAATGAAATCATAATTTTTTTTTTTTAAATACCTTTAAGTTATATGTAATTGTTTTGTGACGATAAGGACAAAATTGTAAATTACACGCTTTATTACATAATTATTTTGATATTTTAAGATTTTAAAAGTAATACTGTATATATTTAATTTTGGGTCCCTAAGTTTGATAAAATAACATTACGATGATAAATTTACTCGTATGAACACTTACCCCCATAGTTGAGAGTTGATAGGTTGTATATTATATTACCATCATTCATTTTCACAAATAAAAATAAAGATGAAAGCTAAATGCTGGTTTTTTTTTTATCAAAGATGTGTCTATACTAACGTTTGAAATGGTCGAGTTAAAGTCATGAGTCTCACAACAACATCGAGTGAATTTTCAAATCGAATTTCATGTCATGTCAAATTGAGTTTGATCAAACGTAACTCAAACTCGAGTTTGCTCACCCTTAGTGTTTGTTGCAAATTATGAGAAATGAGTCAAGTTGAGTTTGATCAAACCTAACTCGAACCCGAGTTTGCTCACCCTTAGTGTTTGTTGCAAATTATGAGAAATAAGAGATGTATGTGAAGGTCTTCAAAATTTAGTCAACCTTCTTGACCATTCATCAAAATTCACTAGGATAAAAATTGCTCACGACCCAATCTTACAAACTTTCTCTCACAATCTCAACGTGACAGTTCGCAATTGGACAGACGAAACCCATAAAAAACAAGCGAGACTCATTTATAGGTTGACTAATTACGAGTTGCCAAGTCGGGATTGTAAGAGAAAGTTTGTGAGATTGGGTTGTAAATATAGTGTTGCCCAAATTCATGGAACTCTATGTAATTTCCCTAACTTAATGGGACTTCCTCAAAATTTGACTAAATTATAAAGAAGTTTAACATGGGAATAAATTCCCCTACCATAGTTCATACTCTTTAACCTATTCACTTGAAAACAAAATTGAAATTTCATACTCTTAAACTAATCAACAAGAAACTCTTTAATCAAATCTTCATACTTGCAGAAACAAAGGGGATGCCCGGAAAAAAATAATCATATTGCTTATAGATATAAATACACGATAAGAAACAAAGCTACAGACCACATAAATATGTCGATAAATGAATTCAAGAAACATATCCTCCCTGTGCATTCCTAGGCATTGGGATTTATAGGCTCCTTTATCTTCATCTTCCTATGTCACTGTGTGTGTATTCTTCTTTACTCACTTTCTTCGTCACTTTCCTGTATATGCAAATGGTTCATGTTCTTTTCGAGTGGAGGAAGTCCATCTTCAGAGTCATCGTCACTTTCCTGAAAGTTCACATGATTCATGTTCTTTTCAAGCGGAGGAAGCCCATCTTCGGAGTCATTAGAAGAGGCTTCGTCTTTATTGGCGTCTGCCTCTGAGACAGCAGAAAGCAAGCATTTTTTTTTAGAGACAATTTATAGATATAGTCTGCTCTTAAATTTTCTTCAAAGCATGGAAAAAGAGTACCTTCTACTTCTGGAGGAACTTTTGGAACCTGACTTTGCTGGGAAAGCCAAGAATTTTGGACCAAAATTATAGCAGCACTGTTTTCACATTCGGAGTATGCCTTCAGCAGTTCCCTGCATTGATTGAATAATGACATAAGCTCATTACGCACAAAAGAAAAAAAAAAAAAAAAAAAAAAAAAGTACACAAAGACTTCAATAGTTATACTTTTCTTTGTTTTATGAGTTTGAAGATGCACCTCAAGAAAGTCAACTGAAGTATCATAAACCCAGATACAGAAACTCCTGCAGTTTCAATTTTCCGTAGCATGTGTAAAATTATCTTGCCACGAAAGAAGAAGAATGACGATTGCAGGAGTTTATGGTCTGGGTTTATGGCAAGTCAACTGAAGAATTACGACTGCAACCAAGAAAAAGGGTAAATATAAATTACCTGTTGAGAGACAGAAATGAATGACCCCATTTGAACTTGCCTAGTAACAAATCCGCTGTTTCCCGTTCCCCACTGTTAAACATAAATAACAAAATGAAAGAACACCCAATTCTTAGCAAATAATCATGACAGTAAGTTCATAACAAACAAGCTGATTGCACTATAGTACCAGAATGCTAGAACAATGACCTCCGAATGATATTTTTTGGTGAATAAAACAAAAATGCTTCCAAAGTGCAATGTGTATATCCGTACATGATAAAAATTGAGAAACAAATTCCTAGAAAAGAATCAAGGAAAATAAACTGAGATTGGTTGTCTGAAAAAAAATAAGTTACATGCTTCTGCAGACAATGAGAACTTAGATGGTTATGACTCACTACTTGAAAGCATGACAAACCCATAAGAAAATTATCACTAGTATAAGCTGTAACAGCATCATATGAGAACAAAAATGTTAAAATAGCATAAGGCTATCCATAGAAGAACTGTCAGGTATTACAACATTAGCACATAAACAAAACTGTTTCCAATGAAAATAAGGGAAGAAGATATTGTTACCATATTATTAAAGCTGCAGCTAATGCCTCCACACAAGACAGCTGACAAGGTCGACCATAATTTACAGGATTTGCTGCTACCAGCCATGGTACTGTAGTTTCAATATGAAGTCCAAATTATGGAAACAATATATACAATTTTAATAAGAGGAAATCATTACGACACTTATATTAAATCCATCAATTACTATAATGTAGACTTGTTTAAATATTTTCAACTTGAATAAAGAAAATCACATCCAAATTGACCAATGACATAAAAGTACCAAATTCCACATATGAGAACTGCAAAACCTCAAAATAAATTGATTAAAAAAAAAAAAAAAAAACTATTCAAGGCTCCGATTATTATTTGGAGATCCAATGTTAAGTCAAATTGGTTATTAGTACTACATACAACAGATTAAGATGATGTAAAGTGCGTGTCATGGACTTATTACCTACACCATAGATCTCCATATTAGATAAAATGTATTGCGATAAAATGAAATGCTCGTTTGTGAACCATAATAATTATGATACTTCAATCAGGGTAATTTTCACAGAGAGGAAGTTCATACACAGGCGAGGAGCAGTACAACGCAGCTTCACAAATGGTACATCCCCCAAGCGTGCCCAAGAGCAATCAACAACAGCTAAGCCTTTCCCCTTTATCAAGCTGTAATCTTCTTTTGAGATGCACTGACTCCCAACAGGGCTGCCAACAGAGATACACAACACATAGTAAGATGAGTACACAATAGATGTGCAAAAACAAGCATTGACACAAAAATAACTCCCATATGACCCATAAAGAAGCTGTTTGGTATACAGAATTATAGATGCTCCAACAGTTTGCCCTATTTGCTCCCATATGCCCATCACACAACCAATAATTTGGCAGCTCAATCAACTTGGCCTCTTTCCAAGGTCCAGAAATCAACCCATATGGTTTGTATCGTTGTTCAGATACATCTTTTTTAACTCAAAAAGACAATTTGAGTGAAAGCAAGATTCGAGTCTGGATCCAAGATCACATTGTGGACAATAATGATGGATGATAGCCACAACAAAGACAAGATTAGAACCTATTCAAAAGCAGCAAAGTTCTTTGTTCTTTACTCACTTAAAATCTTTTAGGACATCAAACTGAAGAAATAACATATTAGGTTAATATACAAGAGATAACATAGAGGAACAATTATACCAGACACTAAATAAGGTAAACAGAAAATGACTGCTTCAAGTACCTTAATGCAATGCCTCGGAACCCACTACTCACCCGTAGCTCCTGCATTAAATATTGAATAGTCCAAATTAAAGACATTTGAAAATGTCTATGTTTCATTCTTAAGGGATAAATGCCAAAAATAACTCAATTAGACTGTACTAAGTTAATACATGATAGAAAAGAAGCTATCATTGTAATTCACTGAATATCAATCAAACCCGTTTCATAGTAAATCCTTCAAATAATATCAACACTAACATAAATAATAAAGTCAACTGAGATATGGACTTATATAATACCAAGTAAAAGTCACCAACAACTACATCAATGAATATTAATAACCAAACCATAATTGAGAGAAAGAATATTATATAGCAGATACTTTCTTTCAACATGCCAAATCTCGAAAGTTTGCGTCCAGTACATCTCTTTGCATCACATTGTCCAAAATCCTTAAAAAAAAAAAAAAAAAAAAAAAAAATTAATTCGATCCCCATAATGCAAAAATTAGCTCGCAATTTTAAAATTTTATCATGGATTTACATATCCATCCATACCCACATGGCCAGCTGAATTTTCGGAACTTGTGGCTCATCCTCAGGCTCTATAAGCATAAGAAATTCATTAGCTGCCTAAAATCATAAGGGTGAGACTAAGTGCACCCAAATATCTACTCTCAAGGTCCAGTATTTTCTAAGCACAGTCATGGATTTCTACTTCATATATTTTCCAAACTTAACACCATAAATCAATGGTAAATTTAAAGAAAACACACACACACACACAAAAACCCAAAATTTTGTTGAAGAAGTTGATAAAAAAGAAAATATTTCAAAATTTTTGATAATGTGTGCACTTAGCAAAATTAGTGACAAAAAAACCCCACTCCACAGCGGCAATTTATCAAACACATGGTGTGCTTAGAAGACCAAACGAATAAGCAGCACCGTTAACATCAAACCTTGTTCAGATGGCAGAGACTCGTCTTCTCTGAAATGGGTAAAGTATATAACAAGTGTTAGACAACAAATATATTGAAAATTGGTAAAGTAGTGAAATAAATAAAGAAAGAACCTTTGAAACTGATGGGTTCGGCTGGATTGAGCCCGATGAGAGTGGTGGGTTTTGGAGCGCCGGGGCTTGTTGTTGCCCATTTTTGTGATCAGAGACTGAGAATTAAAACTTTAAAACTTGATAACTTCAGTGTCTGTTGAAGGTTGAAGATGAATTATACTGTTCGTTTTAGCTTTATATATGTATGCTTTAGGACTTGAGTGAGACTTTTCAAAACATGGCTAATTTTTTTTGCCTCCACCAATGTTCAATCGTATGGAGCCTCAAACAGTTTGAGAATTATCCTAATCTCCCCTATGGATTTTTCAGATTATTCATAACCACCCCTAAGTCAATATACACCAAAAAGTCAATAATAATTTCTGAACAAATGTGTGTTTTATTTTATTACTAAAAATAAGGATAAATTAGGGACATTCTTCGTTGAGCATACCACATTATTCATATACTAAACCAATAAATTTTTTATTGTATCGATAACCATTTTGAAGTCACCATCATATTGATTATTCAAATTGACGAATGGAAAAAGTAATGTATACATACTTTTACATTTATCGATTTGATGCCAACTTACCATCTTAGGGTTTGGCCATGACATCAAAATTGCGAGAACCTTTCATTATAATGTTATCGAATTCGTTGAGTAACATTATCAAATTAATAATATGATACAACTTTGTAGTAACTCGTAAAATCAACACAAAGAATTTATTATATATTACAAAATTCTCATTTCAAAATTATAACATATTTTGATATTAATTTAATAATGTTATTGTGTCGATATTTTGATTGGATTGATTGTCATATTTCTAGCATTCGTCCATCTCTTCCTTGACCAATCCGAAGGTCTTTAGACCATATAAGAGACATAAGTAATGTTACCTCAATACTTTATAATTATTTAGCTCGTTTAATTTTATTTTCATAGTATAGAGATAATTAGAGCATCATTTTTACATAATTATTATTTTTTAATTAAAATATTAACCCGTTAACCTTGCTGTACCAGTAAGATACACTAACTTTTTATAAAGTATTCTCACTCTCTTTACAACCGACAGAACGCACCGTTTTACATCATCACTGAGCTTACAACAAAACGTTTTCTACTTCTCTCGGCTCAGCCATTTTCTCGAACACCTTGACCGCGCTTAAATTTGATCTCCCTTAGATACACCGTTACAATGTTACGGAGGTAACCCATTAATTTAAATCAAAATTTAGGGTTTTTATGTGCTCGAGTTGTTAAATTTCGTCTCAATGGTGCTGTTTTTCAGGTCAATTTTGGAATTATCGTCGCGTCGGAGGATTCTGAGGACCCAGGCAAGTGTTTTGTCTGTGTTATGGATTTTGATGATGCGTTTCCGTTTAGTTGTTAACTGCTAGATTGCGGGTTCTTGGGTGGGTACTTTCGGTTTTGTGCGTTTGGGAGCTGGTTTGATTCAATTGAGTGTTTTTTTAATGGTTAGAAGCACTTTTGTGTTGGCTTTGTAATGTTTGAGACGATAAAAGCTCTTGAGTTGAAGGACTTTTTTTGGAGAAACATTTCATAGGCGTTGTGTTATAAAATGTTTTTAAGTGCTTTTGTAGGAAATGCATTTACTAAGAAGCACTCAAAAGTGTTTTCTAGAGAATCGTTCGCAAATGGACCGTTATTAGACTTGGTGTTGTGTTCGTAGTATATATATTATAATCTGGTGTCATTTCATTTGTTGAGTATTTATTTTCTATTACATTTTGTTCTTCATTGACAATACGACGCTCGGTCAATTTGATTAATTTTGCGTTTGGGAGCTGTTTTGATACAATTGAGAGTGTTTTTGAATGGTTAAAAGCATTATTGTGTTAATTTTGTGATGTTTAGGTATAGGGATTTTGAGATGATAAAAGGACTTGGGCTGAAGTAGTTTTAGGAAAATAAATTTTCATAGGTGCTCCCTTAAAAGATGTTTTTAAGTGCTTGTACTTAAAAGCAAAAGTGCTTTCTACAGTAGCATTCCCAGATGCACCTTTATTATGGATATTGGGAGTTCTGTTAAAAGTGCAGTTGCTTGGTAGTGTTCTCAGAGCTGCAAGAGATAGGCGCTTCACTGATCTCATAGGGTACTTTTAATTATTTCAGTTGCACACTCCCAAACATGCCTTCATGAGTATTGGTAATTTTTAGATTTTGTTTGTTGAATTTTCATTCTCATTATAACTCTTGGTCATGCAAGTATCCAGGTTTCTCTATTGATGGTTAGGAAACTGTGTTTTCTTAAGCTTTCTTGATGTCCATCGTTACTGCTGTAATTATATTACCAACAGTAGGCCTTTATCCTTCAGCTTATGTTTTTGGGTTAAATGGTCACTTCACTCCTTTGTGTTTGTTTCACATGCTCACAAGTTTGTTGATTTCCTAAGGATCGTTTTATTGATGCTAACAGATATATTATGCTCCTTGATTTGTTTATGCATGGATAATTGCAGCGGGTTCCCTTGATTATTTCTTCAAGAAATGAATTTTCAACTGCACCCCAGCTTAATTCATCCAACAAACCTAGTCCCACAGGCAAGCGACCTGAATCTAAGGGTAATTTGTCAACTCTTGTTGTTGGAACTACTGTCATTGCCGGTGCTGCCCTTTTAGCATATCAGAGTGGGTATTTGGATCAATATATTGGTAAAGAGAATGACAAACGCAAGTCTGTTGATTTGCCTAAGTTTAATGATGGTAAGAACACTTTGAAGGATGCTCAACATGCGGTGGAGCCGATAGTGTCTTCCCATAGTGACGAAGGGCCTAAAACTGCTGTGGAGCAAGCTTTGCAGAATGTTCAGAATGACAAAGATCTTCCTCAGCCTGGAACATTGAATGAAATACCAGTTGAAAACCAGTCTCATTTGCAAGATAAAGCAGATTTGGCACCTGAAGATGGTACAAAACCAGTGGAGAAACACTTGGCAGAAAGTTTTAACAAAAGCATAGAATCTGATATTCAAAGTTCAAGCTCTCCAATATCATCTGAAGAAAGTGTTCAGAGGGAAAGCCCAGAATCAAAAACTATCAAGGAACCCAAGGAAGTTCAAGCTACTTCAATATCTACCCAGGTGAGTGTAGTTCCTGATAAAGATGAGGAGACCAAAAAACACGAGCAGAAAACAATGCCACATCAGCATATTATCACAGAAGACAAATCCGAGGTACACATTTTTCTTACTCTGTCCTTTAGTCTTTTTCAACAATGCTTTTGTATTATTCATATAAATATGATAATAGTGGTGGTGAATTATTTTGTTTTATCAATTGTGGAATTTCCATTTTAATGTCTATTATATGTATGTTGAATGGGCTCAAAAGTAGCTTATATGTGCTTTTATCGCAGGATGCTTTAGGCAAAGGGGCAGAAGCACCAGCTTCTCTCCTTGAGGCGTATCATCTTAAAGATGACACTGATGAAGGTGCTACAACCAAAGCAACAGAGGTTTATTATAGACTTTCTTTATGTTTATATTATGCATATGTTTTGTTATTATGCTGTAAAAGAATGTTTAATTGAACTTTGTTTCTCAAATTGTTAGGATTATATTAATGCTATTGAGGAGCTGAATAATGATTATCTATCCAAGGATGGGAAATTGGTGTTTGATTTTTTACAAGCAATTCATGCTGCTGAACAAAGGCAAGCTGAACTGGATGCTCGTATGTTTGCCGAGGAAAAGAGAGTACTGAAGGTTTGAATTGTCAATAATTCCTCACATGAATCATTCAATTTCCAGATTGACGTTTTATTAACTTTCCAGCTCCATAAATTAATAAATTAAAAAAAAAAAAAAAATTGTATCTTATCGAACAAAATTGACTTCTCCAGTTTGTGGTTACACACATCTAGTTCAAATATTTTGGCTGCTTTTCAGGAGAAGTATGAAAAAGAATTGAGGGACTCAAGGGCTAGGGAACTGATGAGTACAGAAGAGGCTGCAATCCTAGAGAAGGTATAAATCTTTACATCTTCTTACTCTTTATTTTTCTTGGAAGAAAGTGTCTTGTGTCTGATTGGGTTGTGCACCATCTAATTCAATGTAACAATTGAAAGTATTTTTTTAATATGGGTACTGAATTTTTGGGGTTAAACAATCCGCAGAAGTTGCCTAGCCAGGTGACAAGTATTTATAAAGATCACATCTTTTCACCTGCATTATGTCCTGCCTGTTTATGCCAACCCTCCAGAAGGAAGAGAGAGAGGGAATCCTTTGTGGCATCTGCTTGAGTACTCTAAATCAGATCCTAAGTATCTTTATTTTTTCCATTTGCAGGAATTGAAGAGAGAAAGAACAAAAGCGGCAGCTGCTATCAAGTCACTTCAAGAGAGGATGGAAGAGAAACTAAGGCTGGAACTTGAACAGAAGGTTGCTATATAGTTTTTGTCTTTAAATAAACATTGTTTTGTACAGAAGCATTTAGGAAACTGTAAACTTAAGCCTGTCTTTAACAATTGCAGGAAAGTGAAGCAGAGTTGAAGTTGAAACAAGCACAAGAATTAGGTAAAGCAGAACTAGCTGCAGCAATAGCACGTGAGAAGGCAGCACAGATTGAGAAAATGGCAGAAGCAAATCTTCATGTAAGAATTTTGCACAAATCATATAATAAGTTATGAAGACATCCCACACACACACACATGAAACTGAATGCTTGATAAAGGATGTCTCATAAAAATCGGAATTTTATTTTGAAGAGCTCTCCAAAAATCTGAGAATGTAGAATATATCACTCTTGCTATGGTACGTATTGTGTGTACAACAAAATGACATTCAAAATTGAATCCGTTAACTATTTCGATTTCCAATATGAATTATTTCTCTATTGTAACCAACAACTTAGTCCAAAGATTAAGTTAAACACTTATTGAATCATTTAGTTTTTCTTTAGGTTTTCAGCATTTTAAGAAAGGAAATATAGAATGCTGAATAAATAACAGATTGCTAGACTTCATAGCTGACCATTATGATCATACATACTATGGAGGTGTTCTTTATATGAATATATGCATGCCCAGTTATTCTTAAAACAAGATTCATTATGCATTGTCTACAAATTTGTTGGTACTGTTTTATCTTGTCTATATCTCTCTTTAGCCAGTAAATATTATGATTTTGTTTGGAAATGAAAATTAACAAAATTTGATTTTTTTTTTTTTTAATAGATAAATGCACTGTGCATGGCATTTTATGCACGATCGGAAGAGGCTCGTAAGAGTTACTTTGCTCACAAGCTTGCTTTGGTAAAAACTCCTTTTCTGTTTTATGTAGACTCATGTTATGTAGTTGTGGCCTCATAGTGGTTATATCTGGTTTTTAAAATTTGACTCATTTAAATTATTATAGGGTGCACTTGCTCTAGAAGATGCACTTTCCAAAGGATCACCAATTCAGAAAGAAATAGATGCTTTGTACACCTATCTTGATGGCATCGAAAAAGACTCTATCTTGGATTTGGTTTTAGCATCCATTCCAGAAGAAACAAGATACCGTGGCACAGAAACACCATTGCAATTGAATCAGAAGGTAAATTAGTGATATGAAGATTTACTGTTTAACAAATTAAAATGTTGTTATCGGGTTAGGTTAGAAATGCAAAAGATCTCCATGCAATAAGATGTGAAAGCATGAAGAACTAACATAAAAAATGACGAGCCTGTGTGCTTCTTTTTTATCGAGCTAAATGTTCATATGATTACTCATTCAATTCTCATTTGATGGCAAGATCTGCATGGCCATTGCCCAATCAAATGATAATATAATACGACTTAATAAGACCAAATTCGTGGTTTTTTTTATTTTTTATTTTTGGTGAAGGATTGGATAAAAGTCACCTTGTTCATTCTTTAGGTATATAAGGATTATGCACACATCCATAAAGTCTTCATTTTCTTTCCCTTCCCTAATGGTGCTCTGATTTAGTTAGGCCTTGCTTTTGGGTGCAAGTGCAAACAGGTAAAAGATGCTGATTTTCTTTAGTTTCTATTAGTTTGAGGAAAGCACATTTTCTTGTTATTGAATGTGAACTTTGTGATGAATCACCTAAGCAAAAGTTGTGTCTCTTTACAAGCAAAGCTGCAAACTGGTGATTAAGGGGGTTATTTTAAGGGGAATAATACCATTTTTCAGGTTACATCTGACATCCGTTTTTTATTTCAGTTTGACACGTTGAAAGGGACACTACGACATTTTAGCCTGATCCCATCAGGTGGTGGTGGTATCTTAACACATTCTTTAGCACATGTTGCATCCTGGTTAAAGGTACGCAAATACAAGGTCTACTCACCACACTAGCTCGTTTAACTCCTTAAATCATATTCTTTCTAACTGCCATACAGGTAAAAGAAGCTGGCAACTCTGGAGACGGGATTGAATCTGTGATTAGTAGAGTTGAGAGTTATTTACGGGATGGAAAACTTGCCGAAGCAGCAGATGCTCTTGAACAAGGGGTTCGAGGTAGCCAAGCAGAGGAGATAGTAGTTGATTGGGTAAGGCGAGCGAGGAATAGAGCAATCACGGAACAAGGTCTAATTTTCCTTAAATCCTACGCTACTTGCCTTAGCCTTGCTTAAAGTTTTGAGAAATTAAACTGGACACCTGCTTTTTGTTTGGAGTATAGCTCAGTGTGATACTAAATTCATTGATTTTGTGGTTAAGCCTACAGAAAATTTTTATGGGTTTTCCATAATCACTTACGAGACAACAAAGAATAACCATATCTTTCCGGAACTTATTTCACGAGAGATCTGTAAGAATTTTCACTGCCCTTTTCCTGAAACTCTGTAGAATATCCAATCATCTGAATAAAAATTTTGTTTCTTTCATCACTAATCTCTGACTTTTCTTTAAGCTTGAGTGGTGGATTCTTGTCTAAAGTGTTGTTCTAGAGTGTGCTTTTATGGATTACTCTTTCAAAGTAGCTAGCCTTACTGATTTCTATATTAGATTTATAGATCAAGAGGAAGTAGTTTATATATATATATGACTGGGGTGCCCAGACCAGTTTGTTCTTACCTCAACTAATCCTCGAAATCTATTAAACATCTTACAAGTTTAATGTTCCTAAATAAGCTATAAATGCAGTAGGTGGCTTCAAGATAGTTCGAACTTAAAAAATCAATTAAGGGAGCAACCCTTGGGTTTAAAGGGGTGGGTATATTCATAACAAGCAACAACCCATGTGTTTAATTATTAAAAGCCTTGATTATTTATACAATACTATTAAAATGCACCACTCAAACTTCATAAAAAAATTATCATATTATTGGGACAAACACATTCAGAATTGGGTTGGTCACCTCATAAATGCCACCTTAGCCCATGTGCCAAAATGTTGTCAAAATATAAAGAAAATGTTTTCCAAAAACAAAAACATGATCTTGTCTTGCTTCCAAAATGTGTTTCTCTTTTAGTATAAGATTTGTGGGGTGCTTGTTCTTGTTGTTTTGGATATATTTGTTTTAACATTAATGGCCAAATCCAACCATCAAAATTTGGCCCCTCTTGAGGGCCATGCCTACCTCTCTTTCACCACCTAATTGAAGGCAGCCAACCATAACTTGGCTGTCTTTTTTAAGCTTCTTATTCAAGAAATAATTATTTTTCTAATAAATGGGTGGGTTCACTATTTATTTAGTGGGTTATTTTAACGTGCCCTAATACATGTCCAGGACACGTAATATTTCTAACGGTAAATTTTTTGTCTTCTAATGATCTAAACGTATCTATAGCACACGTTAGATGAGTTATGTTCAATTTTATTAATACAGCTTGCGTAATTAGTGTATTTTAAAAATGATATAAGGTTATATATGATCTCGATAATTTGATACGGGTTCAAAATTGTGTAAAACATACAAGACGGTTTAAACCTAACCCAAGAAGAGTATTGTCGAATGCAAGATTTATAACGTAGAAATAAGACTCGTAACATTGAATATAAATCTAAATCTAATAACACAAAAAATAGTGAACTAAATACTAAATTAGTAATATTTAGTATAAGAGACGTAAAACTTGTAACACAGAATATATTTATTTATTTATCTATAAAACCATCATATTTAACTAATTTATAACATAGAATTAAAATTAATTAAATTATAAATAATTTCCAATTTGATTAATTATTAATTTGAGTGGAAAAACAATTGAAATGTCAATTTCATCAAATTGACCATAGATTGCACACCAGCAAGCATGACCCACTAATTGCAAACCCCAAATTAATTAATTTAATTAATTAACTAACAATTAAATGAAATGATTAACAATCTAAATCAATTTTTCATTTTCTAGTTTATAATGAGTTTAATTAGTGTCTTAATCAAAGGCAGGTGAGAAATCAACTTTCCTGGAAAAATATTATTTAAAAAAATTGATAGTAAAGCTAATTAATTTTATCATGAAATGGACCCATTAAGAGGAGAAGCTTCAAATCAACTAATTGATTTTTTATTATTATTATTTTTTTAAGGGTTTATAACAAAAATTCCCCTACAGACGAAATGATAACAGAAATCCTCATGTCGTTAAGTTTTCGACATTAAAATAAATGACATACGAGCAATTTCATATATATCAAACGAGTAATTTCATATATATATCAATCAACTCGTCATGATAAATTTTTTTTTGGGTGAAAGCCTCGAGATGCTACACTCAAAGGTATGGACTAATCTCAATCGGGCTGAGTAAATCCCTCTAACCACAAGTTGTTTCTAATGAGATTTAAACCTAGGTAAAGTTCGCTCATTGGGAGTCCAGTTACGGCTAGATCACATCTGCTCCCTATATGACAGGAAAATTTCATGTATTTAATTAAAACCACAGGGGGTTAAGGGGCCCAAATTTTTTTAATTAAATGTTCTTTTAATAGCTGGTGTTAAGTCTTAATCATATTATACTGGCTGACCCCATTTATCAAACAGTTCTAGTTGTAAACAATAAGGAAATATTATTACTATTATTTCAAATTAAATCTAAATAACCAATATATATTCCAATTATAAAATTATCTTTTTGTTGATTATTTGAGATGAATTTACTATTTTAATCCAAGAAAAAATAAAAATATTAACTAAATTGGTAATAAGATGAGAAATTAATGACTATAATTGTCATTTAATTAAGCAATTTTGGTCGAAATTAATTAAAATCTCGTGTTAGTTAGCACTTAAACATTAACAGGGATTATTTGACAATTAATTAATTATAAATAATTGATAAAATTATCCTTATTAGGTGTATCATACTGTCCTCATAACTCCACTAATTCAATTCTACCATTAAATTAAATAATTTATTTAAATAAATAAATAAATCAAATACACATTTTTTGCCAACTAAGAAAGAGAGAGTTTCTTTATTTTGTTTTCTTCTTGGCTTGGCTTGGCTTAACCCCAAGCTACTTTCCTAATTAAAACCTTTAAAAAAAAATTATATTTTTCATAATAAATTGATGTCGACCAGATAATAAAGGATAAGTTATATTAAACGTCAATATTTGGAGCCTTAAATTCAAAGTAACACTTTTTAGAAAGTGTCTTACAAAATAGTACAATCCTAATTATGAAACTGTATTTATATGTAAATAAAACTTATACTATTCAATCACTTTCTGCAACCCTAACCTACCCCTTTCTCCATTCCCAAAATTCAAACTTTTAACCCCTAAACCGATATCTGCCTTTTATTTGTGCCAAAATCGAGTAAAATTTGAGTGAAAATACTGATTTTGGATTTAGGGTTTTGGGTGGGATTTTTAGGGTTAAGAATAGGAGATATGTTAAGTGTTGTTGAGAATGGTGCGAAAATGGTTGGATAATTAGGTTGTATAGTGGTGAAATGGTGGTTGAAATCTAAGTTTTTGGGCCGAATCAAGGGGTTTTAACTAGACTCGACCAAAAAACGTAGGTTCTACTAAAGAAGATGAAGTCGATTTTTGGGCGAATACCTTGGATTTGGCCAAGACAAGTTTTGTCCAAATAACCGAATCGATCGAATGGCATGGTTTCGGCCACCTTAGTATCAAAAAGTAGAATTAGCTGAATACAGCTGACATGTGGGTTTTGGTCAAAACTCGTCTTCAACCTCCAGCCAAATTTTCTTTTGAATCCTTTGAGATTGACCGAAACTCATACCCAGATTACGCCTAAACCACCCATTTTCAACATATCCATTTAAATAAAAGCTTAATTAATTATAACAGCAAAAAATCTTTTCAAAAATAATTTATTTAACATGTTTCCTAAACATATATGCAACATACTCAAAATTTTAGATTTCAAATAACAAAATTTTCATTCCAAAAATAATATATCAAGAAATCCATTAAAAAAGTGTTTCTCAAGATCACAAATTTGGGTCTTCACTCGAGATTTTAGAGTGAAAGCATGAGTTTTGAATTAATGGTTAGACATTTGTCATTAGGGGCAATTTCATCCACCAATTTTGTGTTAAATAGAAATGTGATATTTCTCGAGACATTTTACAAAAAAGTGTTAATTCTCAACTCCCTCCCATCAAAAAGGCAATAATAACCTAAAAAAATAATTTTATTGTAACGGTTTAAACTCAAATAATTAGATTTTGTTTGTTTAACACCTTATATAAGTATTAGTTATTTAGTTTCACAAAAAATATATTTTATAGATTCTAAGTAAATATCTTTCGTTAAAAAAATGTGATTTTTTAATTGAAAAAATCCGATCGATAAAATATAAGAAAATCTGAGATATGAAATAAGATAAACCTGAGTCCAACTAAATTTAATTTATCGTTAGATTGTATAAAAACACCCTCCACCTAAACACAGTATCGAGGGATTCGAGATTTATAATATAGCTAAAATTTTAATTCATTAATAATAATATTGATATGATATTACCAATCAATATTCTAATAATACATGATATTAGGATATTAAAAAAGTTTCCAAATCGAAGCCAAAACTAAGCTCAAGCCAAGCCAAGGAACGTAGGAGTGTCAAAGTCGAAGCTCTGAACTGTCGGTGGTCCTGTCAGTGTATGTGAAGCTGTGACCTCAAGCTTCTCTCTCTCTTTCTTCCGCAGTATCTATGGAAAAAGCATTTTAACGATACAAAAAATCATTAAAAATGTATAAAAAAACCTCTCTTTTTCTCTCTCTACTACTCACTCATTGATTCATTCATTCATTCACTTGCCTTTTTATTATCTTCTTCTTTACGAAATTCATAGATGCACTAACTCTGCACTCCATCTCTCTCTCTCTCTCTCCATTGAAGGTGAGCTCAATCTGGCTTTACTATATCAAAGGTTAGCTCAATTGCATTGGTGGGTTGTGCTTGTTTTTGGAAATCTGAGGCCAAATTCTGATTCTTTTTAGTGTCACTACGTCAAAATTTTGCTCTTTGCGTTGATGGGTATTGCAATTTAGCTCATTTGGATTGATGGGTTGTTTTTGTTTCTGGGAAATCTGATATCAAATTTTGATCTTTATTTGTTTTAATGGATGCTGAATCTGTGTCACTACGTCAAAGTTTAGCTTATTTGCGTTGATGGGTTGTTTTTGTTTTGGGAAATCTGGGGTCAATATTTGATCTTTATTTCTTAAAATGGTACTGAGATTTGGTCATTGAGATGAGAGATTTTTGTTCATTCAGTTTTGATCTAGTGTTCTGTGTCTTAATTGTGTGGAGTTCAGTCAAATCTGACATTTTTAGTTGCTTTGCTCTTCATTTGGTTCTGTTTGGGTAGTGGGAAAAATGGAGGAAAGTAGACGAATTTGATAAGAAAGTTGTGTCACGTTTCTGTTGAGTTGGTAAGTGTTAGATTTTTTTGCTAATGGAT